GGGGGGCCTTCACATGAATGGGCAAGGTGACAAGGTCTCTTTTAATGAAAGGAGGTGTGATTCTCCACAGCTGCTATAATAATTACAAGCAATATATCTGTGTCACCCATCCCAGAAAATTCTCCATTATGTCAAAGAAACAAATAAGTAGGGAATCCAGCGCATTATGGGTGTCACACCTTCTTTATAGACTTGTGGGAAAAAAAGTAAAACAATAGAAGGGATGTTTTCTTACTGGCACCCCCAAATCGATAAACGAATAACCCAAGTAATACAACCCATCAAAGCTCATTCAAAACATAAATAACAGTTTTGGATGAATTAAACCTTTTAATGATAAAGAATTTATGGCAAATAAGGTACACTATATATAAAGACCTCAAAAGTAATGGGAACATTGGACTCTCTCTTTAGTAGTGTGGATCTTGGAAACTATTACTTTTTCCCTGCATTCTACATTTTTGAATTGCTTAATACGTGAAGTCTACACTTTCACTGACCATGATATTTCTAAGTTTAGATTCGATCACTACAAGACATAAGTCACTTTCTTAACATTATTCTTCATTGCAATAAAATGAAACAGACTGAATGGACAGTAAAATTCGCAAAGGATACATTTCAGCACAATAAGAGCCCTGTTAATACTTTGTGAGAAGGTGTAGAGCCCTTATAATTCATATAATTGCTCATCTTCACATGGGAAAAAGAATCCAGGCTTTTGAAATATGTGATCCCACTAGAGCTCAAACACATCCACACATAAACAATAAGATAAACTAATAGTTATTAGAGACACTTAGGAAAGCAAAATTATTCTAAATATCTCATTTCATTTTCATCAAAGGAAACCTTTCCTGAATTAAATACAGGGGCTGCCATTGCTGACCTTATTCTGAAAATTCTAGCTGCTTGTCTCTGTCTTCAGTACTTTCTCACAGACACGGGGTAGCCATTCAACCAGTGTAATCAGAACTTCTGATCTCTCACTTGTTTTGTGTCAGTGCCTCAGAAAGCATTGAAGCCAAAGGATTAACATAAACACAGGTTTCTTAAACCAAGATATTTTATTCATGTTCTAATATATTACCTGAAGTGATGTCATTTGTTTTGGTATCCTTAGATGTCTCTGATGTAGAAGGTTCAAAGACCCCTAGAACAAACTTGTCCACTGGCATTGAGACAGGCCTTGCCTGCAGACTTCTGGAGGTTCTCCTCATTACTGCATCTTTTTCCTTAGCACCAGACACCTCACATGGAAGGTCTCTGCTCTCTGTGGACTCTTGAAACACCATTTTGGTCTTCTTTCTGCCTTTTGCAGGTGCGCTGGCTGTACGCCTCAATATCCGGTCTCCAATGGACCGCTTTCTTAGGTGACCATTGCTCTCGACAGAACTGTGCTTTGAAGTTTTATTGAAAAGCCCTTTAAGTCCAATGAATTGCCTATTCTAGGATAAAACATACACAATACATAAAACATTACACTAATTTCTGTGTATATTTTCAATATTCTTATGGATAACATACCACCTAAAGGGGTCTTCCAGTTTTCAGCAAAATAATTTATGACGGATCCAGAGCTCAACAAATCCCAATGCTCTTACATATTTGTTTGAAGACATTATTTTACAGGCAAAGTTGGTAAAACCAGAAAACCCCTTATAATGCAAATAAAATTAGATGTAACACTAAAAACAACATAACCTGACAAATCCATGCAGGCACAAACACATCATGGCCAGTATGACTTAAAGTGACTCTGCCAATAAGAAAAAAAAATGGCTCTCAAGTATGAAGTGAAGGCAGATGTGCTTGCATATGCTTCAAGCAACTTGTATTCCCTGCTGCTATGGTCAATTCCTAGGTTGTTTTGGTTGGCGAGGCTTCAACACTTCCTGGTAGTTTGAAAACATGCCTGCTCCCTCCCACCTGTCACACATTAATACTAGCTCATCAATTTAAGGGACGGTCTTTCTGGCCAATAGTAATATGCAGGAGGGCAGATATGAGGGACGAGCTTACGAAGAAGTGCTGGAGTTTTGCCATTCAGCACATTAAGGCATGTCATGCTTGATAGCAGCTTTAGTCACTTTAAGTGCATCGTTTTTTAAAATTGCAATGGAATGGCTTTACAGACATATGAACGGTATGCATACTATGTATACTGTATGCATAATAAAACAACAACCACATGTAGCTCAGCAGCTTTAATGGGGTAACCAATGTTCAGTGACACACTACTGTACGTTGTCATGCAACAGGTAATTAATCTGCAAATATTATGAGTCTACCTTTGTGGCTCCTAGAAAGTGCAATATAGTATAACTGGGGTTGAGGATTAAAGGACTCCACTGAAATGGAAAAGATTTTACATTTTTAGCTCTTTTAATAAGCAGCATGCCAGAATGCATAACATTAGAGCAGTAGTGAATGAAAAGCTGTAACTGAAAGGATTTAACTTTCTGTCATAATAGTAAGAAAATATTCCTTTACACTTAGCCTGCATAGCAAAATTCATTAGAAATTCATCAGTGAAGAACAGTTAATAGCACAGAAAACATTCACATAAAAATTCTATTGATTAATGAACACAAAATCTGTACAGTTGGCAGTAGAGCTGGGCTGAATCTGAATATCAAAAGACTTTCATTAGCCAGGGAGAATGCGATCTTGCATGCATTTGTCAAAAAAGCACTCCCACATCACTGACAAGAGAAAAATGATTACTACTGCTGTCTAAAACAGACTATACTTCTGGGCAATGTCAGTAATTGGCTGCCACATAAATAATATTGCCCAATATCTGTTCTATTTTTAGCATGTCTTAAATATTAATTCCCTTTTAGAATGTACCTTGTAAATCTCCTTACTGTAGATTATGCATGGAAAAATTAATTTTCACCGTATAACCTACATACCCTCAGCTATGTATTATAAGTGAAAGTGCAAAAACAATATTTGTGTTATTATCTTGATACTAAAAGCCTTGCCTGACCCATTCCGTGATACCATGACATTATGAATGCCAAACTGAGAAAAGACACATGGGGGTTGATTTACTAACCTTATAAACACACCACGAACGTGTATACACCTCTGCAGTGTGTTCCCTCCCAGCATGATCTATGGGTGGAATCTAAACACCTTTGTAATGTGTACACACCCAGCAGGTGTGTTGTGCAAAGCCCTGAAGGAATTCCAAGGTGATGTTGGGTAAATTAGCTCTATGTTGTGTTGCTTGCGTTGATGAATGCAAGGAATGTAAATGCATGAGCTAACCATTTTTGTCTAAACTGTGAAGCAGCATTATATATGCATCATGTGCATGATTTTTCCATATATGGCATTAGTAGAAATATGCTTTTAGAGACTTTTTGGTTGATAAATACGTTTTGCTGTGTGAAAATCACACACACCTGGTGTGTGTGTGTGTTTAGGTTAGTAAATCACCCCCATGGAATCAACAAATCCCTTCTCCTCAACCCTTAGCAGCACAGCGTTCAAAGTACTCATTGTCTCATTAAATTCAGTGGCAAAAGTAAGTTCTTCCTACACAGTTTAACCTCTAGGCATCTACAACGGCAATAGTTATGCCCTCAGGTACATCAGTGCATACCTGTGTGTGCTCAGAGTTTTCTGACCGTGCTATTACAGATAGGTGCAGATCTCAGATTAATGATTAGGAACCAATCAACATGCACATTGTTTGCAATCACAGCGATCACATGCACATTGTTTGCAAACAAACTTGTTCAGTCTTTTAGGTCCTGTGCCTCTCTTTCTCTGTGTTTTTGTTGTGTACAGAGAAAGAAGTACAGTGTTAGAGATCATAGCAGCATGTAAAAAATTGAAATGTTTGATCAAAACTCGATATGTATAAATTGGCCAAAAATAAATGTTTGCCCATTTGTCAGCCTACAATCTAAAAGATATTTAGGCAGGCAAATTAGTCAAAGTTATTATCAACTTAACTAATGCATACCAAAGCTGCTAAATTTTGACTGGACAGCTAAACTTTAATAACCTTCAGTCACGAAGGCCTTATGAGTAACAAAAAAAACGTAGCTGTAGAATAACCAACTGCCTAATTATATGTGCTTTCAATTTTCTTAGAAATTTTCACTGAATGTAGCGTCAATCACTTCAAGGGCTGCCTTAAAAATGTGAATCAGTAACTTGCAAAATTTTGGGATAGCTTGTAGACCCTTATACGTGTGTAAAAATATCTTCTCTGTTTATCTATTACATATTATATGCAAATCTATAGTAAGGGAACCGTGAAACAAAACAATCTACTTGCCTTTCCATAAATCTCATTTATTGTAACATGGACAAATATTGATGCTTCTGTTAAACCTTCCAAATAAACATGCCGGTATCCTGAAAATAATAAGTGCCACATGCAGTTTAATATTATATCAGATGTTTTTCTTAAGTTTTTCTTTAAACAGACAATATAAAAGAAAAATATATAACAACAAATATAACATGAATACAGAAACAACCAAAACCTATAACACCCCCCAAAAAAAGGGAACCCCACATCCACTATATGCACATGTTGATAAAACAGTATCAAGGAACTAACTCATTTTGGTCAAATCACCTGGGCATATATAAACATACAAACAATACTGATGTAATTCAAAAAGAAACATAGAGACTTGGACCTGGATTAGTCAAATTTTGTGTTATCCCAAATTTTATATCCTTTGGAGGGATTCATACCTATACACAGAGCCCTATTTACGGCTAGGAGACGGGATATCCACCATCCCTCCCTCATAATACGAATGGATTTCCAAGTTAGATACAATTGTAATGTTTGAATGCATTACCTATCAATATAGAGGAATTGGTGAAGATATTCTTTTTTTTACTCTGGTCCTGATGGCTACACTATCGTACACATTAAGGGCACTCTAGAATTTCTTCATGTTAAATATATTTAGACATATGAGGGTTGTATATGTGAGCTCAAGATATAATTTGACTAATGCAGTTTAATATTACATTGCCCCAGGCAGGGGCGGACTGACCATTAGTCCGGGAACTGCCGACAGGATGTTCGCGGCAACCCTCTTGTACCAAGCGGGCCCCATCATTCAGCAGGGGGGGGGGGGCCCGACCCAAGCCCA